ATGACATACAAGGTCCATTATCTGGTCCTTGTCTGCCAGTGAGTGATTGAGTGAAGTCGCTCAGTCAACTCTTTGCGACCCCATGGACTGTAGTCTACCAGGCTTCTCCATCCATGTAATTTTCCAGGTAAGAGTACTCGAGCAGGTTGCCATTTCCTTCTCCTGGGGATCTTCCCGACCCAGCGATCGAACCCAGGTCTCCCACATTGCAGGCAGACACTTTAACCTCTGAGCCACCAGGGTAGCCCTGTCTGACAGTAAATAGCTTGTACTCCCCATCTATGGAGTCTCTGCCAGGTTTGGTCAAACCAAACCTGGAAAGCAGACGCAGATCCCTCAAGATTTATCATGGCTTTTCAAGCCACTAGGTATTTGCACACACTATTCCCACAGCCTACGATTTCTTTCCCATTTGTCCACCTAGAAATCACCATGAATTCTTTTTAAATCCAGTTAATATCCCCTCTCTTTTTAATATTCCCTGGTTTGCATCATAGTTCCCTCTCTTCTTCTCCTTTCCCTAGTCCCTACAGAAAAAAAAAAAAAACAAAGTTGAGCATTTCTCCCACTTCATTTCTATTCTGGCATTTACCAAATTATGACTGCTTACATGTCTGCTTTCCTGACTAGATTATGTGTTCCTGTTGATAGTGTACTTTTTTCATGTGTGCATCCCCGTACCATACCATACAGTTGGCACTCAACAGAAAAAAAAACAAATATTTCCTGAATAAATAGAAAGAAATAAGTATTTCTTGAATAAATGAGTATCTACAGAAGGACTGTGATGTATCAAGTTTTGTTTTTATAAAATGAGATCCGGGGGTAAGCTTTAACGTATCTAAAGTCACTAGAACTGTGATTTCTGGCTTGGGGAAAAGAAAGGGAGGGTATATATAAAAGAGGGATTCATTACAGGGAACCCAGTTCATCCAGCACCCAGAGAACACACAGAAGTAACAAGACTATGTGACAAAGATTTCTACACAAATTATAACATTATTTTAAGTTGTAAAAATTAAAAACAACAATGTGAAACTTAGAATCATTAACTAAATGAGGATTTGTTCAGTGGGTCTTTTAAACATGGTATTTTTGAAGACTATTTACACACCAGGGCTCGTTTAGTCCACCTGTCAATGCAGAAGATGTGGTTTCAATCCCTGGGTCGGGAAGATCCCCTGGAGAAGGAAATGGCAACCCACTCCAGTATTCTTGCCTGGGAAATCCCATGGACAGAGGAGCCTGGTGGTCTATAGTCCACGGGGTTGCAAAAGTGTCAGACATGACTTGGTGGTTAAACAACAAAACAATTTAAAGATCAGGGAAAATGCTGGCCATTCCAATCAAGTATAAAAGAGATACATCATGATACCAGCTTTATAAAAGCCATGTTTAAAACATATTGGTTTGAAAACTTTTAGGAAAAATGCCTGAAATAAACTATTAATAATAAATTATTAACAGTACTTATCTCTGGTTAATTTCTAAAAATATATCATTCAACAAATATTTATTGAGCATCTGTCTGTCTGCTACTGTACAGTAATGAGCAGAAGACATTTGTTCCTGTCCTGGAGCTAAACATATCACACTTTTATATAATCAATCGGAAAAAGCAATACAGGTTAGAAAAGAATACATGAGATCAACCCACCCTAAATTTATAACCCATAAAAAAGATACTAACACTTCTCTGGAACCGAGGTTGGGAACAACTTTGATACAAATACTTAGATAAAGGCAACCTACCCAAATGACTTGTCCTGTTAGTTGCAAACTGTATCATGATACAATTGGCTAATTACTATGGACAGAAGGTAGCAGAGACACTAACTCTCCAGGCTTCCTCCTTCAGCTGGAAGATCTTAAAATTAATGTTAATTATAAATAAAATTTGCTTAGTTGAAATTTAATCTCTCATACATCTTCCACCGCATTTCTTTTCTCCTTTGTGTTTCTTTCCCCTCCACTATTTCCTGCTTTCACCTTCAATAATTTAAGCCATTTATTTAAAGGAATCTTTGTAATAGTCTTCTTTCAACCCAGGAATAGCCAGTTTGAGTTCTGCCCTCCTGGGGATTCTCAAGAAAGACAGGAGCTTCAGAGGGGATCTGTATCTCTGAAGAACAAAAATAATTCACCAAAAAATCTCAAAGCTTCAGGTCCATAAGATAGAAAAAGAAATAAGGAACTTTCCTGGAGGTCCAGTGGTTTAAGACTGCGCTTCCAGTGCTTCACTGTAATCATTTTGCTAGTTTACATCACAGACTGAAATTCTCCTAAAACTTTCTAGGATTTTCAGCTCATCCTAAACACAGTGATAAATAATAAAGTTAAGTACTCTGAGTTAAAAACTTCAATCCTACAGTTTGAATGTTATATGTTTTTAGGCACATTAAGCAGTAAATAGACAGACTTAAAATTCTGTAGGTTTTAAAATATTGAAAATGGATAGGCTATGAAATAGTTTTCCAGAAATATTTTTCCTAGGGGACTCAAGTAATTGAATTTTTGTAATAAAAATACATATGCAGGATATAATCAGCATTACAAGAACATATAGAGCATTAAATGTTAAGTTAGTGTTGTGATGTCAAAAGCATACACCCAGAGAAGTAGGGGACAGAATTACTGATAGTCATTCATTCATCAGTTTCAGAAAGTACTTATTCTGTGCCAGGCACAATTCTAGGTACTATTAGAGACAGAGCAGTGAGTAAAACAGATAAAATTCCTGCCCTCAGGGAGTATGTTGTGGTTGAGATAGATAACAAGAAAAAAATAAGTAAAACATTAGAGTGATAAGTGCAAAGAGAAAAGAAGTAGGAAAAAAGATTGTAGAAAAAAGAAATAGAAAAAAAGATTGAGAGGGTATAAAAGCAAGGAGGGAAGGGAGCAAGCCATGTGGCTGTCTGAGGAAAGCCATTCTGAGCAGCAGGGATAGCCAGAACAAAGGCCCAAAGGTAGGAAGATGTACATTCTTTTTAAGAAAGAGCAAGCAGGCCGGTGTTGCTAGAAGACAATGAAGAAGGGGGAAGAGTAATAAATGAGGCTAGAGCGAAAATGGGGAAGGTCTAGGGCCTTCTGGAAGAGCACTGGAGTAAGGCTTTCCTGGACAGTTAGGATAATAGTTGGAAATGTAGGAGGGAGGTGATTCCAGGTAATTAGAACAAAGGAAAACAAAAGACAAGGAATCAGGATTTTGAGGATGTTTAGGAATCAGCAACTGGCTTCCGGTGGGGATCACTTGTGAGGTGGGAGGTTGAACGTGCTGTATGATAAATATTGAGTCTTTGATCCTCTGTTTAGGAACTGCAGAAGAGAGATAGGGCAGGGAGGCCCCAGGGTAAGAAGTAATCTTAGCTGCCCCTTTAATATAACCTTTTGCTTTCCCTGGCAAGGATAAAACCCCGCTCCAGATAACTGCTTCAGTTGTTATATTTATAAAGAAAAATGGTGAAAGTCTTGGGATTTCTGTGGGGAACACTTTAAAAGTTCTTGTAGTAGGAAGGAGAGAAAATATACAAGAACTAGAATTCAGATTACTGTATTATTAACATGAACTGAATTGATGATGAACTGTATGATTAACATGAACTAGTAATACAAAGTGAATCATAAAAAGAAGATGACTAAAAAGCGGGACTGAGAAAGCAAATAGGAATTTCAAGTTTTTAAAGATCATTCCACAAAATGTCTAATTCATGAATAAACAAGAGTTAATTACCTCTAATTCTATGTAAAGAGGATTCTGGAGTCTATTATAACTATCCATTTTGAATTAAAATTATTCACAAGGCAAAAGCTGGAAACTTCCTCTCAATTCAACATTCCATACAGAACAGTACCTAGTACAGAAGATGCAAATGCTTGTTTAAATAAAAATCCTACCCATTACTTTTCAACTCAATAGAATCAAACAGTGTTAGAGCTGCCTTAACACAACTTCAAATTGTTACTATTAATAGGGAAGATATTAAAAAAACAGAAGTTAGGAAGAAAGGATGATTTTCTTCCATATTACCACCTGTGCAAAACAACATACCCCAGAGGATTCTACTGGTTAATTAACCATATAACACAAAGGCCAGTTTCAAGTACATGCAGGAGTGTTATTTGGAATAATGGCATATATAACATGATTAAATCCAATAAACAAAGCTGTCCCAAATCCAAGGAAATTTCCCTCAATATATATGAGCTGCAGTAGAGATCCCTTTTTGAAACAGAAAACAAAAAGCGTAAGACAATCTGAAACAATCTCTTTCATCTTGATCCTTCAAGAATTCAGTGAACTTAAGGAACTGGGTTTGCTTCTCTGTGTTTTTTCAAATCTCAAATTGAGAGTAACATCCTCATCTTTCGTTCCAAATAAAGCAAACAAGTACAATTAAAAGGACAGCAGCTCTAATCGCTCTTGGTCATGGGATGTTATAAATTCCAAAGAGAGGAACTGCTAAAGTAGAAAAAGAAATCACCTGATACAAATAATGAAACTTCTGCCAGGAAAAGCATTGTTCTACATACGATGATGTTTGTGCCCAAGCCACTTTTTAGACTGCTTACAGATAAAACTGAGAGGAGGGATTTCACAGGACTTTTTAAACCACGATTATCCATCAAAAAGTTTTCTTATGCAAATGTCGGAATGTCAATATACTTTCTGGTCTCCCGACTTCCAGGAAGCATTTTTCCATGCTAAGACAAGACCGTAAGCAGATTCTAACTCCCCTGGATACCATAAATAAGCATGAAAAAGCCTTTATACCACAAAAAAGTACAACGGTAGTTTGCGAAGGTGTGATTAGTTCTGCTTGTTGGAGAGATCAGAGCAAGCAGTGAATTGAAGGTGCCCTGAAACCGAGCACACGGAACCACGGCCGCGGCATCTCCAAGATGCAACAATAAAAGCATCCTGCCCCCTCCTCATACTTCCCAGAAAGTGGCCTATTCCTGGAAGCCAGCTGACCAGAGGAAAAGAGTCCGGCCTGCCTCACCTTATAGACGTCCCCGTAGGTGCCGCTGCCGACCCTCTGAACGAGCTCGTAGTCCTGCTGCGGGTTCCGCCTCAGGATGTCGGCCCCAGGCCGCAGAGGGGCCTCCATCTTCACTCAGGGCCCGGCCCCCGCCGGCTCTGCCCGCGGCGCCCCGATTCCCGCTAACGAGGACGAGCGGCGCCGCTTCCCAACATGGAGCCTGTGCCCGCAGCTCCGCCTGCACGGGGGAGAAGCAGAGGCTACAATCCCGAGCGGCCCAGCCCCTTCCTTTCCGCCCGTCCGGGGACCGCGGACCAGCCGGCCTGGAAGGGTCCCTAGAGCCCCGCCGCCGGGTTCCAGCCGCGGCCCTTCCCCCTCCCAGGCCGCCCGCGAACTGCCGGACCGGTCTGCCCGCCCGCCGGCGCTCGGGGTCGGCAGGATACCTCAGGGGGGCGGCCCCGCTCTTTGTTGAGCGCCGCGCCCGGGACCTACTTCCTCGCCCGCGCCTGCGTCCTGCTTCCCGGCTCCCGCCGGCCGCTCCAGGTCCCGCGGCGCCGCCGCCGCCGCCTCCCGCAGCAGCGCACGTCCTCTCGCGGGCGGCTGAGGCGCGTACCGTCGCCGCCGCCGCCGCCGCCGCACCACGTTCCCCACCCGGGGCTGCGTCACCGGGAGACACGGTCCCGGCCAGCGTGGGTCGGCGCCCAGAGGCCCGCCCGAGCGCGCCGGCCGCGGGGCCAGAGTGCCGCCCTGAGGCCTGCTCGGGACACGACACTCTCCCGGCCGGGCCGCCGCGCCCCCTCGTCCGGTGTGTCCCTCCGGGCCCGGGCTCCGCTCCCCACCCGCGAGTGTTAGGGACGCTCCCGGTGCGTTCGTGGGCGGACGCGCCTCGGCTAAACCGCCCCGTGCTTTGTCAGGTAAACTTGGAGAGTGAGACGGGTAGAGAGAGAAGGGTGGGCGCGAGGGAGACGGGAACGCGGCCCCCGCCCAGTTCAGAGAAGGTACGTAGAGGGCACTGGGCCAGGAGCCAGCTGGCCGTGGGGCGCCAGGGAAGGAGGTGGGGAAGTGCCGGGTTAACTAAATCACGGCACACCCTACTGCACCGTCCTGTTTTGCAAATCATTCCCAGTGGTACCAGTTTGAAGCTTCCCTACACACCTGCGCAACCTGTCTTCTACTCCTAGGAAGTCTCAGTGGCCAGTAGTCCAGTTGGGCACACGCGGTGTCTCAACGCGGTTATTGCTCCTTTATTTGGGTCAACAGCTTTGCAGAAGCTGAGACAGAATTAGGGACCACAACCTGGTTCTGGTTCTACCACTTCCTCAGTCTGTGACCCGGGACAAGAAGGACATCGTATTTGGCAATGTCTCCGTATCTGCAGCTTGAAGAGGATAGGGTTTTGCATCTGACACCCAAGAAAGCGTTTATAAAGCATCTGACAGGATTATAAAGAGGGTTATCAAAATATAAGAGGTTTAAAAATACTTCACAATGTACAAAATATGGAACAGGAGTTTAGGGAAGTAATTTGGCTGATATTTCACAGGCTGTTTTGCAGTTTCAGTTCTAGTCTTGTTCTGAAGATAGAAGTAACATTACCAGGTTGTATACTGGCAAAGTTATTTCTAGAGCCCCGTGAAGGTTTGAACAAAAAAAGCCAGCTAACACTTGGCCAATGCATTTAGTGACTGAAAAATCACAAAAGAGCAAGTTGTGGATGTTGCCTTGTGGCTTTGAATGTCCAATTCAATTCCATTCTTGGCAGCGTACTCCTTGTTGTTGGTCATTGTAATCAATTGCATAATGTAGAAATTAAATTCACACCTTAACAGGACAGGGAAGATATGTATTTTCTTGTGCTGTTTGCACAAAGGGCACTTATTTAGGGAACATAAGTAAGCTCAGACTTACATGCTCTATGGACAAAGCCTATGTGTTTGCTGCATTGAAAAAATTGTTGAAGAACAGTTACTTCTTTCAAAGCTTCTTGGCACTTGATTTGGTGGGCAAATACTTTTGGCTTCAATGACTTAAAATCTTTTCAAATGTTCTATTGGTATCCTAGTACTTATTTACTGTCATAGATTCTCATTTTCCCCTTTGACCCTATAAACTTTAATCCTTTTTTTAGTCTATAATTTATTTATACTTGCATTACTCCTCAGAGAATTTGAGGCAGAATATGGAAAATGCATACTATAACATAAGATCAAAATGAGGAAATAGGTATGATGTTAAAGAAAGGAAAAATGGGATACCAGAACAATACAGCAAATTGGCTGAAGCAGAAAGTTTTATAGTGTTTTTGAGATCACAATAAACCAGTTGATCGAGAGAGAGGTGCATCTTTTCCTGTTGCTTTTCTTAAAGAAAACTTCTCTCATGGGCCTTCCTAAAGTGGAAACTCTGAATTCCCTGTTCGAAACAAATATCTTTCTGACAGTCTTTTAGGCATGTTATTCTTGAAACACAGTGTTTGATATGAATTAAGCAATAAAAAGTTTGAGGTCATAGGCTTCACCAAGACCCTGGAATGCAGATACTTATGTTGCCAGTAATGGCCGAGCCATACGCTTTGACCATCAACGCAGAGGTGGATAGTATGGAAAAAGTCAAGGTTCTATGTGGTGATTCAGAAATGTCTGCCATAATCATTATTTTACTCATAACACAGCCGTTTCAAGGAAAAACATCTGCTTTATACTAACTTAAAGAGAATTTAAAAATTTTTAAATACTAGTTAATTTTATCAAGGTCAGTGAAGTCATAGCTTGTGTGTTAAATATTACATGGTTAGTAAAGAAGTTCACATTAAATTTCCATAAAATAAACATACAGTGCATAAATTTAATTTTACATCCTAAACAATTAAGCACAGGGTTTCAAAATGGAAGGTTACATAACAATAAAAAGTTGTAGCTTACACAAGAGTTTCTTACAGACCACCAGTTTTTATAATGCCAGGGTATTGAATAAGAATAAATATAACTTGATATGATGGTCATGTATTCTTTGAGTCTTACTGTCTGACATGTTTTATCTTCCATATTTTACTGTTACCTACCTTTTATGGTTTACTCTATGCTTTTTATTGTTTTTCCCTTCTTTCAGAGTTTTTTAGTAAAATGCTGGTTATAATCTTTGGCCTCTGGTTTCAATTTTAGCCAAGGATGAATTTTTTTAATTGGGAGACATAGGGGCTTCCCTGGCAGTCCGGTGGTTAAGACTTATCACACCTCCATTGCAGGAGGCACAGGTTAGATTACTGGTCAGGGAACTAAGTTCCTGCATGCTGCGCAGCACAGCCAAAATACAGGGGGAAAAAAATCAGGGGACATAAAATTTTTTAACTTCTACCTAGGTAAGTTTCACAATTTACTGACCAAGAAAGAATGGTTGAGTAAAATCCTCAAGTGTGACAGAAAGAGCATAAGGACAATAATTTAATATGGAACATATAGACTTAAGCATTATAATCTGATGAATCTTCCAACATAAGCTAGTTGCAAAATGCAACTTGATGTGGTTGAGCTTTATAGGTTTGTTAACTATAAATCAATTAAATATTGGAAGACATTGGCCATCATTATGATTCGTATTTTCAAATAGTTAATCTTAAGCTATTCTTTTTGTTACTAATGAGGTTTCGTTGTCTGTTGAGGCCAAAACTGTGTTTTCTAAGTATAGGAGAATTCTCTTTTGTTCTGGAGACCAGTAGAACTTGCATCTCTTTCAGAATCAGTGTCTGGTCATTACGATGGGAGTTTTAAAAACAGGAACCCAGCGCACATCTTTTTTTTTTAATCTAGTTTGAATTGATTATCTGATGTGTAACCTTGATCCCCAGGGTGGTTTTAAAGTTTATATGAGAATTGATAGCAGGGTTCCTGTATTCAGCTGAGAGACAACTCTTGGCTTGCTACCAGGGCTTGGCAGATACTAAACACCTGACTACAGGATTCTAAGTGATTTTGTGTTATAAACTGTTCTTTAGATACTGGGTGTTATCTGATGACTCTTAAATTGAATAGGGGCAGCAGAATTCCATTGTCAAATGGAAAGGTATATACCAGGGTGACCTGAGCTGGTCTGGAAGGCAGGAATAAAGTACATGGACTAACTTTATATTGTACCTGCTCGTACTTCTTTGCCACTGTTTTTTGAACCATATCTTTGGGCTCATGGTCATTTAGCAGAAGAAGGAAAAGCTTGGGCCTGGTTTATTAATTGTCTGGATGATATATCAGCACCAACTAGAAGCATAGAGCCACTGAATTATGGTCCTACTTCACAGTGAAGTGGTCCTGAAAAATAGAGATGAAGAGAAATTTTTCCAGAGGGCACAATTTTGAATAGAACATCTGGTGTCCTCTGTGTTAGGAATGAAAGATAGCCTGAGGTATGGCTCTGTACTGATTTATGTGGAGTAATTAATAAGTTGGCCATAACTTGGAGAGATCAGAAATAAGGAAGTCAGTGGGAGATATATTATGAATGGAGTATCAAAATTGGCTCACAGTGTGAAAATATCTGTGAACCATTTGACTGCCCACAAGGGGGCATCCATCCCATTAATCAGATATAAAAGATAATCTGTCCTGTGAATGTCAGTCAGCCTCTACCCAGTCACCCTAGTATTAGTTCAGTGGGGCCATATGGCAATAGGAATGGAGCTAAAGGGAATTCGGTGTCATGGACTTCCACTTGCCAAGGGTAGTAAGGCTCCTGCCACTCTGCAGTATCTCACTTTCTTATAGCAGAGTTACCACCTGCCTTTGCAGTGACCCCTGCTGTGCTGTGCTTGGTCATTCAGTCATGTGACTCTTTGCAACCCCATCGACAGAGGAGCCTGGCAGGCTCCAGTCCACGGGGATTCTCCAGGCAAGAATGCTGGAGTGGGTTGCCATGCCCTCCTCCAGGGGATCTTCCCAACCCAGGGATCAAACCCAGGTCTCCCACATTATAGGCGAATTCTTGACCATCTGAGCCACCAGGAAAGCCCAAGGATACTAGAGTGGGTAGCCTATCACTTCTCCAGGGGATCTTTCTGACCCAGGAATCCAACCGGGGTCTCCTGCATTGCAGGCAGATTCTTTACCAGCTGAGCTGCCAGGGAAGCCCTGCAGTGACCC